ACTTATAAAACAAAATATACATTCACATGCCCAAGTTACTCCAAACAGTTTTTTCAATGAAATTCAATATCCATTCTTAAAATTAAAAATTAAGTTAAAGTTTAGTTCCTTAGTTTCACTATGTTTCAAGTGCCCAATTGCCGCGTGTACCTATTGAAAAGCAAGGATCTACCACCTAGGTACTCCACATGTGCCTTCCAACCCAGTGACATCTTCACCTGGAAACTTCACAGAAACACAAAATCCTGGGTCCCACTCCTAGACCTCCTCAAGCAGAATATGCAGTTTAACAAAGCCCCCCAGTGATACATATGCATTTTTACATTGGAGAAACACTACGTCAAAAGAGTAGTTTTAAAGTAGATTTTGCTACTTTAACAAGTGATTATAATAAAACAGTTTGTTTTTCTTTATATGCACCAAATGTGGTTATTTCATGTGTATATCCTTGTTTAGATCAACCAACACCCCGGGAAATGCTAGGATCTAAATCTGATGACTCCTAAGTAGTTGAAATGAGTGGCATTACCTTTGTGGTTTTTCCTTCCATTTTGTTGCCAAGTTTCATTGAAACAAAAGTGCAGATTTATCCTTCAAGCTCTATGTGAAAGAATCAGCAGCGACCCGTCTGTAAATACAAAACATCTGTTTTGCAAAGAGAGACGCCTGGAGGAAATAGCTGCCTAGTTCAGCAGGGAAGGTAGAGAGTGGGCTTTCTTCTGCCTTCCCTTTGCAAGGTTACCATTTAACTCACAGAATTTATCCAGACGTTAGTAAACAGGCTCAGAAAGCGTAACTTTTCAGTATGTCAAACAGCTAAGTGCGGTAACGCCCATCCTTTCCTTTCACTATTAGTTCAAGTTGATACAAATCGAACAATCTAAGGAGTTCTGCTTATTAAATTGCTAAGACCCTCAACCTCATTCAAATTGCTTTCAGTAACTTTTTCACGCATCATCAAAATAAAATTTCCAGGGAAAAATTGTCCTTAATACTTGATAAACTGGCCAGGCGCGGTGGCTCACGCCTGCAATCCTAGCACCCTGGG